TCTTTCTTCACGGAGAAGAAAAATCTCAAACGACTTTTGTTTTCACAGAGGAAATATGATTACGTCCTATTTCGTGGATAGTGTTCTATTTTATATAAATTCATTCTAATCTTTATGATGTTTAAATACAACTTGCAAATCGCTGTAAGTAGACTTTATGTGGCACGAGAAAGTTTATCATATGTATGCATAATAAGAGCAGGAAGGGTACAGTTTAACACGGGAGTAATGGCTCGAAGTAAGTGAGTAGCAAGTCAATCGGCGAGCTTTCCGAATTTAAAATCCGTATTATTCTCTGCGGAATACACATTCACGCACTACTTTTTTAAATTTTTACTTACACAAAAAAAAGAACAGATCTAAACAAACTATTGTGTTTCAAAGAAGAAAGAACACGTATGATTGATAGAAAATAAGTTTATAAAGAATATCAATGCAACTACTCGCAGTCCAATTCTCTTCGGGAAGAAAATCGCCACCATTTCGTTTCCTGCAGCGTTAGTAAAGCGGCTCCCGCCTGATGTAATAATAAGCAAATATCCCGAATAATAACGAGGCGCGTCGCGAGCAATCTTATGACAGTATAATCTTCCACATTACGTACAGCTTAATCCGATCCTGGACGAGGAGAGCCAGCGTGGATGATTCGGAGGGGGGACGAAGGGGGGCGACGGGGAGGTAGCGGAGGATGACTCTGCGAGAACGGACGCGCGGCCAGCCAGAGCGCTCTGCCCGCTCTCTGGTTCAATTTCTGGCGTCAATTAAAAAGTGATGCGGACCGAGGAAAATCAGGAATTAACGAAGCGGACCCCGGAGCCGTTCCCGACGTTTCGCCGACGCCCGTTCCCATTCTCGCGGCGAATCGTCCTTAATCGGCTGTCATTGAGGAATCTTAGCAAGAGCCGATCGGGAGATGCCGATCCGATTTTAGCGAAACGTCCACGAAGCCAGAAGGGGAATGAGTCCCCCGTCTATGTGAAAGAATGAACCGAAAGAGAAAAGCGTCGCGTCGTCTGTCTCGCTGCTCTCTCGAGACGTTTATAAATGGAGGAACGAATCATCTTAAACTTATTATTTTTCACTTTTGGACATTTTCTGGATCAAACAGATTTTTCTTTTGCCGGCAAGGAAAGGCAAGTATGAGGTATGGTCGGGCATCACAGGATGTGGTTAGCTTGGGAAAACAGATTTTCAGGATTAACCATACATAAACTACGCGTTCGGGAACCATGCCGATGTCGCTTCGAACGAAACTGACCCTTGATCTTTCCCTCCGTAACGACCTTCTTCCTCCTGCGTTGCGTTACGGCGAAACGGCCTAACCGCGATTCGGACTCGAGAAAGGAGGCTTCGCCTCGTCTCGAACTAGCACCCAGCTGAAGTTCGTTACACAGCGTGACTCGGCAAACACGATTTCTTGGACGATCTACCTCGCCTCGCGCCTTCGATGGATACTCTTTTGCGTGCGCGCGAGCGAGCGGATCTTCTTCCACCACTGGTTTGAAGGAAGCTGTCGCGAGCTACCCATCATTAGCGCAATAATTACCGAATTCGCAGTCGCGCGATCGCATTTAATTGCTCGATATTATTAATCGATCGGGAATCTGCACCACAATACTCGTACCTTTCATGCTCGACGAAAATCGATCGTTCCGATTACAAGTCTAATCTTCGACCATAATTTAAGTCATTCTTTGTTACCAGAATCGGTCGAACTAAAATTGTTATTAATTGATAACGCAATAATTGTGAACAAAATATTTTAAATCGTAAAGTCTTACCTATTCATTTAATTTTGCGAATTTATTTATTTACGTGGAAATAAGCTTTTTTCAAATCACGTCTTAGCGTTTCTCGATCTTAATCTCCGCCAAAACACGGAATAACACGCGATGCAGCTAGATTCAGGGAGGGTTTAGTCGCAGTCACGAATTCTGTTGCGCCTGCTGCAGAGAATTTGCCATTATCCACCCGCCGTTTCGCCAATGTTGACTACGAAACTCCGTAACGGCGTGTTGCAATCGTGAAAGGCGCAGAGCTTTGCGATGACTGTTGCAATTTACCCTCTCGACTAGCCCCGCCTACACCGACTACAACGTTTCTCGTGAATTAACGGCTAGCCGTACAATGTGAAAGTGAATCGTCGAGAATGTATTGGCTGGCTGATTAAGAATGTGTCCACCTAGCACCCTGCGATCATCATCAAGTGACAAAAATCGAGGGAAAAAAGTGGCGACACGTTCCGCGCGCGTATTTGCGTGCGCGAGATTATGACGCGAGCAAATCGGGCGAGTGAGGATGAAAGAAGGGCAGAGAGAGAGAGAGAGGGAGAAAGAGAGCGAGAAAGCGAGGGCCCTTCGCGTGGAAGGTGGAAGGAACGGCGATGCCGCGCGGCTAATTACCTGAAATAACCCATTAGTCCTGTATCTACCAGGGAATTACAAGGCAACTGCTGAGACAGAGAGGGCGCGTCGTCTTTGACGTGTTAATCTCGGCCGGAGGACCGCGCGTTCCTTCCACGGCGCTCTGCCTCTTCTTACCCTTACTCTCTCCTGTTTCCATGAATCAGCACTATCGCGCACCTGAGAAAAATCGCCGACACGGAACGAGCCGCGATGCAGATCCGCCGAATCGATTATCGGCGTAATAAGCCGTGCCATTTGGGCGTGATCCCGGAACGATTCGCGCCGCGAAAACTCTCAGCATGCGACAGACGTTCACAATAATATTTATCAAAAGCTTTATAAATCGCCTTACTATTTGAATTGTGCGAAGCGGTCTTAACTTTTTTTAACTTCGATGTAACATTTTCTACGGACTCTACGGAGCGACGGTTAACGTTTTACGCTTCGTCAAAATAACTTCTTACGTTAAGTTATTTCCATTATTATTTCACTCGACGATCTTATTTCAGGGACTTGTATTAAGGTTATTTTGAGCAGAGATAATTTTCGCCGTGTTTTTCAACAGAAAAGAAGTCCCGCGGAAGAACTGATCGACAGTGCCTTCGGATAACTGCTTGGTAGAGCTTCGGGAGGTTGGGGGCCGCGAAGTGAGAGGAGCAATCACGAACGATTTCATAGCTGTCACCCTCGATGGAGGACTTCGGGTTCCATTTCGAGGTTCCCGGGCCGGGGAGATCCGTGGAATGACGGGGCGCATTCCCCTCATCGCCTGGGAGGAAGCTTTCCCTCTTGAAAAAAATTCGGGATACCCGTCGTCCCGGAGCGGCACGTACCTCGCGCGAACCGATCGATCGGAGGCCGTCCACCTGACGTTTCAATTTTTAATCGTCCGCACGATACATTGCGCCTCAATGTGCACGCAAGAACGGCGAGCGATTTGAGAGATTGGAGAGCGAATCGAATTTCGATCGGGAATTGAAATATTTTATATCCCAATTCATCTCGAAACGTACGTACCTTCCTAAAGTGTCGTCGAAAGGTGATTATTTTTACACTGTCGCTGTGTGTACCCCTAATTAAATTTATTTTTCAATTCAAACCGAGTGACAAAAATAGAAGCGAGCAAAAATATGAAATGGCTCTCTTTCGCGTTAGCACATTGTTGACTATCAATTAACGTACGATCATCATAGGCGTCGTCTGTCACGGGCGATCTTAGGAAATCTTGGAGGATCTGCTCGGAATCGGTTAGTTCCACGTACTTCCCCGTACTACCGCGCTCCGCCTATCCAATTTGTTCGATGGACGTTGCTCAAAGAACGACTCATTCTCGCCGTGCGTACGAGCGATGTCGAAATGGGAGCGTTGGAGGGCCGGTATTCTCGAGAGAGGCGCAGAAGCCCGAGAGGAGAGTTTACTCGTTTGAGCGCGACGAAAGGGCTCGTTCTTGCGAGCGCGGCAAGACTGATGGCGCGAAGGATTTTTTCGCCGGTTACGATTTTTTTTCCTCTTCATTGACTTATTTTTGTAATTAAAGCGACCGCCACGGCGGAACGATCGGTGACAAGGTGCGGCGACCGGCTCGCTCGATCGCGCGAGGGTCAAGCTGTTCGATTTTGGCGATCCGATGAGCGAGTCCGGCCGATCGATGCCGGTAAGATCGGCGGACTATCGAAGCCGCCAATCGCCTAGTTTGCCTGAGCGGAACGAACTCGCCGTGCAGATCGGCCTGTCAAGTGAAACTGGGGCAAAACATCCGCGTCCCGATTTAATCCGCCGGCCGCGAGGAATCGAGTCGGGATCGGTCACGGCGTGAGAGCTTTCTCGGCTCGTTGTAAAGATCGATAGGATGGATCGATTAAACGGCCGCGATAGAGATCGCGTTTGTCGTAGAGATCGCGAGTCGGCGCAACGCGCGCGCAAAGTACGCGCAAAAAACGATCCTTGGTGTTTTGCGATACTTTCATGGACAAACCACCACCGTTCGACTAGCAGAGTCGATTTGCCATTTGCGTGAGTATACTCACGTGAAAATCGACTTTCTACGTTAGCGGACAAATAAAAAAAAATTTATGCTGTCACGCCCTAGATCGTCGCTTAAATGACCGATCGTTATGCCGAGTTCATTAAAATTCAAGTAATTTGCACATTAACGCGTTCGTTAGCAAATTATTAAGTAAAATCAAAATTGCAAGAAAACGTTCCTTTTATCATCTGATCTCTAAATTGCTCATAAAAAATGGGATAATTTTAGGTAAACTCTTGTGTTTCAGATCTTTGCACAAATAATTTAAATAAAACTAAATGAATGCCTTTCTGTCTCCTTCTAAAAATTATGATCCGGCCTACAACATAAGTTCATAGAAAGAAAATCGAGTCAATTACGAATTCGTAGATTAACGTTATTAATACAAATTGAGTGCAAATTTTCTCGTAGAACGCATTTCCAAAATCTCGCGTGAACCTCGCTGAGGAACACCCGGTAGGGATCGCGCGTCAGCAGAAGTAATCAATCTCGAGTGTCTAGTAAGTTTCACGCCTTGCTCGATTCTCTTTCGCTTGATCTAATCTTCTCAGGATTGAAGGAAGACTCACCGTAGCGCGCGAAACAATCAAGGAGCCTGATCCTTCGGTGGTGGAATGGTTCGACATTGTCGCGGCGAGAGTCGTTCACGTCGGCCAGGATTCCTGCACGCGTACGTTGCCCGTCGCGTTCCAATCCCTGCAACACACACAAGACGTGCGTCTGAGAGCGATCGGTCGGGTCCTTTTTCGGCCGTGGCTAAGGTAAAGACCGTTTCCGTTCTGGCGAATTAGCCGCCGTTCCATCGCGGGAAACATGCCAAATTGATACCAACGAGCTATACTTAACTGCTACGGCCAAAAGAAGTCGCGTATCCGATAGAATCGCGACTGACAAAGGAGGAAGAAACTTGATAAAAAAGGAAATTCCGTATTTGGGCATTTTGTCCAATCAGGCATTCGGACATTGGGCATACGCTGCCTAATGGTACGCAAAAAGATAAGTTTTATCGATAAGTGTATCACTGAAAATGGGTTTTTCAATTGTCACGTCGTTAAGTGATATTCTTAAGATTGCTATATATAGGTGGTCCCGAATTCTTGGAGATGCGATATCGCGCGCGGGTTTAAGGAATGCGATATGAAGGCTGTAATATAAGTGAGTCACGCTGATATTATATGTAAAGATAAATGGGACAATTTCAAAATTCATTGCCTCTGAAAATCTATACGTGTACAATAGATTTTCCAATATTGTAATTTTGAAAACATTAGCTATATACTATAAAGACATCCTCGACATCTCATCGTTCTTTCGTCCGCACGTATAATGTAGCTTGTTTAACACAAAAGTTGCATATCCTCTTAATAGATTAATACTACACTCACTAACAACGATTTAATCAATTTAATTATATCGTGATTAATAATAGATCGTTCTTCAACAGTCATTATTAAATAATCGTAGGTTGTCGAATTGACTATGCCGTTAACACCGTGCACACAATAACGAGTTTGTCACGTTTTTGTTCCGATAATTATCGATGAATAACTCATCTACTTTTCTCGGTAAAGATTTTCTTCCGCTATAAAGTTCAACGCTATTACGTCGCTGTTGCGTTATCCGCCGATAAGTAAGCCTCGAGCGCATTAAGGTGAACATCGCGACATCGACTGCGTCTTAAGCGGGTACATCGCGTGTGCGTGTCGGGGATGTGTCTACGCTCGCGTTGCGTGTGCGCGGGACTAATTCGCGAGTTAATTTTATGCAGCGCGACATGCGAGAAGTCGACGCGAAGCGAAGCGAAGCGACGCGACGACGACGACGGTGCGGCTTATCGCCGTCGCAACCGCCTGCGACGTACAATTGCCGCGTTTCCTCCTCGAAAGCGTCTCACGCGCGCATTTCTATCACTCCCAGGTGTGAAAATGACGGATAGCCGTAACCAGGCGGGGCGAGATAGAGGTATAATGCATTGTACGCCTCGACGAACGCGTTTTACGCATCTATTAAGAGTCACGTCATTAACGAGGTAATTAGATGGTTATGAGGAATATGGTTTTATTATAATTCGTTAGCTCCCTTTTCTCTCTTGAACGTGTTAGTACGTCTTGCTCTTCAGTAATTATTTTAGTTAATCATTAATTTAAGTCATCATAATCTAGTGTTAATTTTGATGAAATAATTTTTTTGTTAGTGCCTTATGTCGTGCTATTCAGGGCTTTTAATCTCAAATGATGCAATTTTGTAATGCAATATCGAACAAAGTGTATACAGCTTATCGTTTCACGCGGAGGTGAAAATGACGAATGACCGTAACGAGACGATCCAAGGAGGATATAGCCGAGCCGGACGATGCCTCTTCTCGTTTCCCTTCATTTACGACGAGGTCACGAATGACACGTGACGACGAGTAATGAGCTTGGTTCGTTACCTGCTGCCGCGCGAGGCATTCCACGCCCACGCGTGCAAGAATGTGACGGACGAGGATTGATTTAAGAACTATCGTTAATGTAGAATCACATATGTGGTGGATTTCAGCTATACGCGGTATACCTAAAAAACTAGCGTGTTTCGCAATTTTTCATATAGGTAGACCACGATATGCGTGATGTAATGAAAGCGCGAAAGCTTAATATATCTACAATAGAAAATGGATTCTATTTATCGATCTGTATATAGTCGGAATCCCGTAATTTGTTTGACTAGCAAAGAAAGGAGATTCGATCGAGCACAACAGCAAAAACTGAAATATGGGCGTACAAATAAGCAGGAATATATGTAGAAATATGAGAAAGATCGAGAAAAAAAGACAAGGGATAACCCTTGAGGAAACCAATGAGAATTAAGTGACAACGTGTGCGCGTAAACAGCTGGAAAAACTGGAGAGGGACATAACGAGAATTAGAGGGGAATGAGGTCCTATCGTCAGAGAGCAACTAGACCGAGGTCAACCAACTACGCTCGCGCTGTCCCCAAGTGTCACAAGTTATGTATCCGCACATGCACAGACACGGCTAGCATCATTAAAGATAAAAAAAAATTAACAAACAAAACTACGACAATTCAAAATTATATTATTTTCGTTATAATCATATACACACAGAAATATCGATCCCCTTCGATAGGTTTTAACTGCAATTTTCGAACGCGACGCTTTCAGATATTTCGGACTTTTGCAGTTAATTTTGCGATTTTCTGCTCGCCGTTGGCATTCGGTAGATAAATCCTTCGTGGCAAGATCGTGATAAATTTTCGCGAGGCCCATGAGGGGGAAAGCAATACCATTAGCTTTCGTTTTGAATGGCGACACGAATTACGTTCAGTTGGGAGAGATTGAACAGTATGAAAAAAAGGGTTGCTACCCTCCGCACCGGCGGGCGCGAGCACATCGATGGTATTGTTCGAAAAAAATTAACCCGGGATTTTTATTTACTGCCGTTCCGACCCTCCTACCTCCGCGACTCCGACCCTCACGGAGGCCGATGATCGATCGATCGCCGAATTTACGTGCGTGCTTTTTGTAAACGAAGAATAAATTACTGTAAAGAAATCTTACGTGTACTGGATTCATGGCGCTTGCCATACACGTGCGTTTTTTCTGTAAACTTTTACAATGGAATTTTACGAGAATAGCTAATAAGCATCACAAAATAGTTGTTTAATTCGACCTAACTGACCACCTATGTTGAATGTTAATCTTATCAGTTCTTACAAAAAACATTTTATCAGTTTTGAGATTTGTAAGCTTTTAAGTTTTACTGTGGCTATTATATAAGTTTTGTATAACAGCCACAGTTTTTTACTGTTATGACTTATCATTCATTTATCGAGGAAAATCAATTTCCCTCATTGGATTATCGGCTGCGTTCTGACATCCGACTCCGACATACTGATCGTAGAACCGGCCTAAAACTGTGGCTATTATACAAAAACCTCAAAATGATAAAATGTCTTTGATAAAATTAACATTTAATAAAAGTAGTCAAAGTCGAATTAAACAACTATTTTGTTAGTTATTACTGGCGAAGCAAAATATTTTCTATCTAATAAACATCTTTAAAGCACTTTCTCTAAAACCACGATATTAGTCTTTCACAAGTACTTGAAAAAATATATATATCCGAAGAGATCGGAGAATAATATCGATCGTATCATTCCTTTCTTTTTGGTGGCCACGGCCGGTCGATAGTCATTATAGTGCGATTCGCGAACAATTAAAGCGAAGTGGCAGAAGCAAACAACGATCGGCAAGAGCGCGCAAAGGGAATTAGTATGTACTCTGAAGTTCGAGCCCTTGGCTAGCTTCGAACAGAAGGCGGCCAGGCCGAGCGTGGCAACGCGTGGCACGGTGAGAGTGCGACGGGATGGCACTCAAATATTTACCACACCGTGCAAACAACCGTCGGTATTGTTCTGCGGCGCTACTATGTGTAAATTTAATCTTCCTCAGAGGCTCAAAAAGTAAAGCTTGCGTGCGCGATTGGTGGACGAAACGCGTGGCGAGAGAGAAGATACTTGCTACACGTTCGAAAAAACGAGTGTATAATTTGCAAATTAAAATTGTCCCACAAATCACAGTCTTTATTGACGATTGTTCTTCGTAATCGAGAGATCAAACTTGATTAATTGCCTGATTCAACAATAATCGCCTATTTTTAGTCTCACATACATAGAAAAAAAAAAGAAATATCATGACTTATAATATTCGTATATAAAATGTATAGTCTTGTTACAGAGAATTGGAACTTTTTATTTCAATAACTTTTTTTCATAGTTGAGTTATATAAATGACTTCATTCGAGCAAGTTTTCTTCGCTTAACGCAATACTTATATCTCATTTCAAGATTATAGATTCTTGCGAATATATAAGTCTTGAGTTGACACTTCTTTCTTTCTGTGCATTTACGTCGCATGAATCTAAATCTTTACTCGTGTGTACCTATGCTATGTGGAACGCCATATTTTTAGTTATCAAGATAATAGTTTATCTCACAAACTTCGTTTTTATGCCTGACTCACGTAGAAGAGATGAAGTTATCATGACTCAAGTGACAACAAGGAATTCACCCCGCCGGAATTCACTAACTCTCGCCGCCAGACGCGACGGTGACATCTCCATCTTGTTCTCTTCTCTTCGTTTCTCCTCCCGCTTTTTCCGTCCGTCAAAAAAAGAAGTCTAGACCGTTCTCTTTCCCCACGAGCCCTTCTCACAACCGCCCTCCGGCGAGAGGACAACGATGACTTTGCCCGCTGTTATGTGCGAGTGGCCCTCTCGGGCCTTTTGTCGGCCTATCGCGAGAGACACCTGGATGCCGCTTATCTTCTTCTCCGCCACCTCGAGGTCATCCAAAGGGTATCCTCGATCTCGCGTCGATCGCAAAGAGAGGAGAATCGGCTGACGCCGTAATGTCTTGTCCCTCTTGTTACGGAATTCGACTGTTGATTTGAATGACGGTGTTCAGTTCTTTATATTTAAGATACTTCAGATATCAATATAGTACGATAGAGCTCGGCAAGAAATACATTTTCCGATTTTTAGCTGGCTTCGCCTATAGCGCTATCAAAAGACACGGTTAGGTCTCGCCGTTAACGCATGCACTTGGCGCGAGACACTACTAGGAGATAGCGCTATTGCTACGTGCAATATGCAGATTGATGTTCCTGCTCACATTTGTAAAAGATTTCAAAAGTCGGC